CGCCCTGGTTGCAGAGAGGCGGAGCACTCTTGCTCCCACCTTTCACAGGAGGGCCGCTGCCACACCACCTGACCCTGGCACCCGCAGGCACCCGGACAGAGGCAGACACTGCCTCCGTGAAACGCGGGCCCCCTTCAGAGCGCGCCCCGTCTGCTACCATGGGAGAACGAGGAGGAGGAGGAGGAGGAGGAGGAGGAGGAGGAGGAGGAGGAGGAGGAGGAGGAGGAGGGGAGGAGGAGGACGAATTACTGTCTTGGGGCATCTTGGTCGTGCGCCCCACCACCTGTGGGGGAAACCCAGGGCAAACTTGTCGAACAGGCCCTTTCGGGCCTTCTTCGCTGCCTCCTGGGGCCCCATTTGGCCCCTGGAAAGGGCTTCGTGCGCCCCAGCACCAGGGCAAACCCGGGGCAAACTGGTCGAACAATTTACCCTTGTGAGTCTTATTGGATGTCTCGTAAGGCCCTATTGGGCCGGTTTGGGGCTTTCTTGGGCCGTCTGGCGGCGCTCTCGGGCCGCCAAGGGTCCCTGGAAGCCGTCTTGGGCGCCCTCTGGGGGGCTGCTGAATATCTTTTTGGCTGTCTGGGGGCGCTCTTGGGGTCTGGGGGCCGTCTGGGGCTGTATTAGGAGTCTCTTGGGTCCCTGGAAAACTTCAGGCGCCCCAGCACCCGGAACACCCACGGCTAACTGTTTGAACACCGCGCCTTTTGGGTTTTCTCGGCTGCCCCCCGGGGTTTTCTTGAGCCGTCTTCGGGGTCTTTTGGGCCGTCTTGGGGGCGCCCTTGGGCCGTTAAAGGCCCTTGGTACCTTGGAGGCCATCTTGGGCGCGCTTTGGAGCTGTCTCGGGTCTCTGTTGAGTCCCTGGGAAATCTTCAGACGCCCCAGCACCGCGGCAAACCTGCTGCGAACTGGTCGGACAGCGGGCGCTTGGGCATTCTTCGCCGCCTCCTGGGGCCCTCTTGGCCCGGGGTTCTCGGGCCATCTTGCGGCGCTCTTGGGCCGCCAGGGGCTCTTGGAAGCCGTCTTGAACGTCCGTCCTCTGGGGGGCTAGTGGAGCCCTTCTTGGTTGTCGCTCTGAAAGTTTGCGAATCGTCTTGGCCGTCTCTTCGGGCTGCACTGGGGCTGCACTTCAGGCGCCCCATCACCCGGCACACCCGCGGCAAGCGTGAATCACGTGCCCTTTTGGGCATTCTCAACTGCCCCACCGTTATTGGGTTCCTTTGGGCTGTCTTTGGGCCCATGGTGCCTTGGAGGCCATCTTAGGCGTGTTTTGGGGCTGTCTTGGGTCTCTGCGGGTCCCTGGGAAATCTTCAGACGCCCCCCGGTACTGCGGCAAACCTGCTGCAAACTGGTCGAACAACGGGCGCTATTGGGCCTTCCTCGCTGCCTCGTGAGGCCCTCTTGGCCCTCTGGGGGAGCTCCGTGCGCCCCGGCACCAGAGCAAACCTTTGGCAAACTGGTCGAACAATGAGCCATGGGCCTTATCGAAGGCCTCCTGGGACCCTCTTGGGCCGTCCTTGAGCTTTAAAGGGCCGTCTGGCGGCGCTCTTGGGCCGTCTGGCGGCGCTCTTGGGCGGCCAGGGGTCCCTGAAAGTCGTCTTGGACGTGCTCTGGGAGACTACTGGGGCTCATTTTGGCAGTCTGGGGACGCTCTTGTGGTCTGGGGGCCGTCTCGGGCGTCTCTTCGGGCTGAATTGGGTCCTCTCCTCGGTCTCTGGAAACACTTCAGGCGCCCCAGCACCCGGAACACCCACGGCAAACTGGTCGAACAACGTGCCCTTTGGAGCCTTCTAGGCTGCCCCCAGCGGCTTTCCTGAGCCGTCTTCGGGGTCTTTTGGGCCGTCTTGGGGGCGCCCTTGGGCCGTTAAAGGCCCTTGGTACCTTGGAGGCCATCTTGGGCGCGCCTTGGGGCTGTCTCGGGTCTCTGTTGAGTCCCTGGGAAATCTTCAGACGCCCCAGCACCGCGGCAAACCTGCTGCGAACTGGTCGGACAGCGGGCGCTCTTGCGCCCTTCCTCGCGGGCCCCTGGAGGGGGCTCCGCGCGCCCCGGTACCAGGGCAAACCCTGGGCAAGCCTGTCGAACAATGATCCCTCTTGGGGCTGTCTCGGAGCCGTCTTTTTAGGCCCTCTTGGAAATCTGCTGGGCAGTCGCCCAGCGCTGCTTTTTCAACGTGCTTTCACGCTGCAACCACGATCGCTGCACAGCCGGGTAAACCCAGGGCGAACTCCACGACCGAGGCAAACTCCATGTCCAAGTTCTCCCCCAAAACACACGGCCACGTGTCGGAACACACGACACATTTTCGAGCGTTTCCCAATCCAGACGACTCCATGTGCTCTGGCAGCTTTCTGAAACGTGCAGTCATGTATGTCGGCGGCAAATGATCTCTGTTGGTGTCCGAAGGGTATGGGGGAAGTGGGAAATGGGAAAACGAGATCTGCCCTCACATCTTGTCGTCGTGGCGCAATCACGACGGGCACTTTCGCACTCCTTTTGGGCCCTGGGGCCCTCACGGCTCGACCCGGGTCGACGAATTCCGTGCGATGAAGACGGGCCGGAGAAGTCGATGCACCTCCAAACGTGCACCCTACTCCTCTTTCCTCCTTCCTCCTCTCCCCTCCCCCTCCTTCCAAACTCGACTTGCGGCCGCAACCGTGTTGCCCCCTTTCCGCGCACGTGCTCACTCACACGGCTCGGGCCCAGCGCGTCGCTCGCACGGGCGAGCGACCGCGACACGCACGCGGGGCGAGGTGGAGACTGCCTCCCCGCCGCCGCCGTGGCTGCTTTCCGCCGCCACCACCTCCTGGTCCACCTCTCCCACCGCCACCGCCTCCACTACGGGGTGGCCCTGTGGGAGCATTTCGAGGCGGATCCTGGCATTCTACGTCATGCAGCGCCGCGTCCAAGAATTCCAGTGCTCCCGCCGCTTCCGTTTGCGCCCGTCCAAATCCACTTTCCGTCCTTGGCAGTGACCAGCGATGCAGTGGAAGTTCCTCAGTTTGGCACAGCAGTTGCTTCGCCTTCGTCGCGCTCTTTGTCGCCACCTCCTCGGATCTTCGATGCGGGAAGCTCCCTCGGTTACACGGCAGAGGCTCTCAACGAATCAGCGCCACCCCACGCAATCGGCCATGTTGTGAATCGCCGTCTGAACCGCTGTGCGCGCTTTTCGCCATCGCGTGCTTCCTGCGAGGCATCCGCTAATGCGTTCAGTGCTTCTGCTTCAGTCCCCGCGCCTGCCCCCGTGGGACGCCCCTAGTCGCCTTCTCCGTCGCTCATCCGGACAGCCGAAGAGAATTCTGCTCGGCGTCGTACACCGACCCCGCGCCTGCCCCTGCGGGACTCCCCCATTCGCTCTCCCCTTTCCCGCGTCTGATGAGCAAAAATGACAAGCATCGTCTCGTGCCAGGGCAATTGCTCAGTTGCTTTCCCCGCCACGGGCCCAGCGGCTGCCGCAGGGCCAGGGCGACAACGTGCGACTCATCGGGAGGTTTACGACGTGGACATCAACGCCTACTTGCAGGCCGTAGCGGCGGGGCAAGGATACGAGGACGCTGTGCACTTCGGAGCTTTGCCAGAGCACGAGCGGCTCCCGCGCTGCTTTGAATGCCGCATGCTGTACCCAGCTTCCTCAGAAGGGTATGGGAAAGACTAGTCTTGACGACTTTGCCTCGGTTCGTCCGCCCGCTTGCCAAACATGCGCAGGTCAGAAGTGTCCCGTGACTCGTGCCAACAGCGGGGGGGTCCATTTCCTGCAGTGCGTTCCCATGAAGCCCCCAGCGTGCGCATACTGGGGGCGCGTAATCCATGACGAGCGCTGGCGCAGTGGAAACATGTGCAACACGTGCAGAGTATTTCTGTGCTGGCCGTGTTGGATAGAGTTCGCGCTCCCGCGCGAGAAAGACGCTTGAAAAGAACGATTCTCTCGCCGATCACACGCCTGTCCCGAACTTTTCCCTGAGGCTAGCGCTCAGGCCGTATAGGTCCTTGTCTCGCACTGGCCTGATCTTGATCCTTCTTTGGCTGGCTCCCTCGTGCTGAGTGCTCTGCTGTCACTCGCTCTGTCGTGTGCACGTTCTGCGCTCCTGGCCACTCTCGTGGGTCGCCCCCGTTGGGCCTCATCCGTCAGGTCCTCGCCCTGCTCCCAATTCGCTCTCTTCTGTACCGTTTGTAACGTGTCTGCGTTGGCTGTACAAGGCTCTTGACCGGACTGGGTGCTGCTGAAATTGGTCCGACCCAATGCGCACTGGGTCCCCTCATATGGGATTGTCCACTTTGCCCGGCATTAGCTGCGATGTGCCCACTGTTAGCTGCATCTTCCTGCAGCCTGCCCAACCGTGTCCATCCAATTCGGGACTTTCAGCATGATCCCTCCCCTCGTGGATCTCTCCCTTCGTCCCCTCCGCTTGTGCTGGCCTCCCCCCGCTTAGGCTCGTGACTTGCCCTCTGCGCTTGATTTATGCTTGAATCGTCACACCGCGCTTTGTCTTAGCTCTGCTTAGGAGTGCGTTTCCACTCGCCGTGGCCCTGCGTTGCATACTCATGCTTAGCATTGCTGGATGATCTGCCGCGTCGCGTCAATCTTGTCCATGGCGAAAAATCCGCTGCCCCTACTGAACTCCGCGAGCGTCGGCACGACCCGCGCGAGCAGCTGCCGGACTTGTTCCGCGGCGGCAGGGCCTTGCCGTGGTGTAAACGGAGCCCCGACGGGGCCTCTTACTCCTCGAAGATGCGCTCCAGCACGGGGGCCGCCGTCTCGATGTCCTGCACCACCATGGCCAAGTCGTCGCCGCACGCGCGCCTGCGCGAGTCAGGGAACCATCCTGGCGAGTCGGCGCCGATCCGATCCGATCCCCTCCTTCCTTCTGCCTATCCTCCTTCTCGTCCCACCCCTCCTTTCCCCTCTTATGCCTCCTCTATCTCCCTCCTCCTCGTCCTCCCCCGTCTATCCCTGCTCTCCGCTCCCTGCTCTCTGATTCCCTCCTCCCTCCCTCCTGCAACTTCTTTTGCCCTCGGCCGCCGTAGCACCACGAATGCTAAGCCCTGGGGCTGCGTCGGAACACAGGCTTGGGTCCGGCCACGCCCTCACGTGGCTGGCCTTCAAAGAGGGCGCCCTGTGCAGGCTTCTTAGAGAAACCAGGCGCCCGCCCTGTCGCGTGGGGAACTTTTGGAACATGCCGATCTGTCGCCTCGGATCTGTTACCGCCGTGACTCGTCGAATCCGCCACTGTGCCACAAGCATCGAGCGTAGCGTCCTCGGCCCCCCGAGAGGCCTCCAAGGGGCCCGCAAAAATGGCTCCCGAGAGATCCCAAGAGGCCCTCAAGGGGTTTGTCCCCGACCCACGTGCGGTGGCGGGGTGGGCCGAAGGCGGCTAGACATCGGGCGCCGAGCCCGCGGCTCAACCCGACAGGGGCACCGTGGGCGTCGCGGGGCTGTGCGAGCAGATCACCGCCAGCAGCGTGGTCGTGATGCGCTCCTTCGCCTCGGTGCTGAGGCTTGCGCCCCCAGACTCGAGGTTGGCCACCGCGGTCTGCGCCATGTCAACGGCCGCGCCGACGATAAGGCGGCGTGCGTCGACCAGGGCCTCGGCCTGCTGCTTGACGAGCATGGCCTGGGCGATCTCTGGAGCGTAGGCCAGGTCGACCAGCTCGAAGCTCAGGACCTGCGTGCCCGCGACGGCGGTCTTCTCCTGGAGCGCGCGCACCAACTCTGAGGAGATGCCGGCGCACTCGGACTGGAGGCTGGGCTGGCCGGGGTTCGCGCCGTACGGGTAGCGGCTGGCCACCTGCTTGAGGACGGTGGTCCCCTGCTGCATGATGAACTGAAAGGGGTTCTCCACTTCCACGCACGCCTTGAACGCCGAAGTGTTCCTGTATGTGATGACGCCGCTGATGATCACGGGGTTGCCCCTCTGATCCACGACCTTGATGTCCTTAAGCTCCATGGTGTTGCACTTCGTGCTCACAGACCGCAATTGTATCCCCCAAGGGTTGAGGAAGTGCATGCCTGGTTCTGACAACGTTCCCGAGTACCTCCCCCAATACATCACTGCCTTGCTCTCGTTCTGGTCCACCTTGACACAGCCCCCCGCGCAGGTGAGAGGGTTCCAGCAACACAGGCAGCATAGCGCCTGGCTGAGGCTGGGCGCGCTCCCCATGCTCGCCACGGGGTCCACCTGCTGCGAGTGGTAGGGGACGGCCGTCAGGGGGGCCATGTGCTGCTCTTGAGGCGGCATCTCCTAAGAATCGGAGGATCACTAAGAATAAATGCGCTTTCGAAGCTTCGCGCGGACTTCTCGGATCTGCGCTGAGTCCCCCCTCCCTGGCGCGCCTCTGGCGCAAGGGGCGGCGCCAGAGGCGCCGCCAGGGGGAGGGCCAGAATCCGCGCGGAGCTCTGAAAGTTGTTTTTTGTGTTTATGCTCTGTTTTGCGCCTCGTAAGGAAGAAAAGGGAGAGAGAGAGAGAGAGAGAGAGAGAGGGAAAGCGACCAAACACCGTACACGAAAGAGGTGCCTTGGTAAGAGGGTGAAACCATCCACAATCGTACACATCCCGCGTCTCGGCTGTGCGCCAGGCAGCGCATTGGCCATTCGTCCTCAGTGGACGTCCTCGAAAGGAGCAGGGCGGTACTCATCACCCACGCCTCCACGAGCCCTCCTCGGGCCGAAGACTTGCTGGACGTGGCCTCGTGGCCGAGCCAGGAGAGCCGACATCCACCAGGGCTTCCGGGCCCAGAGCGGGCCCTGCAAAGGCTTGCAGCTGGTAGCGGCTGACCCTGAGATCCTGATGTCGCAACTTTTTGTCACAACGGGCGATCTAATATTGTTTCGGATCCCGGGGCCTTCACAGAGATATCAGCGGGAAGATGGCGCCTAGGGCTCCAGATGCGATTTGTCCTGATGCAGCAGCTTCTTCGCAGCGCTGGACCTCAGGAGACACGCTCGGGGCTGCGACCGAGAGGATCTTGTCCGACGAGCCTGGGCCGCCCAACTTCGCGTCTCGCGCCCCGAGAGGGCGCCGGTGACTTCGCGCCCACGCGCCGCGCCCACTGGAGAAGGGCAGCCGCTCCGGCCCGGGCCGCGACGTGGCTCGGCCGGGCCTCTCGCCAGTGCGGGCCACTGCAGATTCAGAGAGGAGCAGATCGTGCAGTGGATGGTTGCGGTGCTTTCACTTCGAAGGTGGCCTTGGTGTTGGTCAGAATGGCCCCGCGGGTGACCTGCAGTCAACCAGTATCATAAGGATGCGCGGTAAGGATGCAAGGGCCTTGGAGGCCCACGTGAACGGTTTTCGAACGCGGTTGGCCAGTGAAAGTGGCCAAGGATAGGTCGAAGGTGCAAGGATGGCAGGGTGCCCTTGGGAAGGTCGCCCATCCTTATTATGCGGGTTGACTGTAGAAGAGCCCCGGGCCAGCCAACGTGCTGAGCAACCTCGTGCGGGCGAGGGCCGACGCGAGCATGCCCGCGGAATGCACAGCGGGCGAGGCGGGACACCCAGGGACTACCCGGAGCGGCCGCGGCATTCAGGGCGCGCGCGGCGGGTCGGGAATCTTCTTCTAGTCCTAACAGCCTAACCTGTCGGGTGGGGCAACCGATTCTTTGAGCATGATCTTTTGGAGGTCCGCGCGGGCCTCCGAACGTCTGATATTTTGTTTTTGCATGAATATTCGAAGTCGGCTCTGACGCGTTTTCTGTGCCCTGAGCTCGATAAGGATGATAATGATGATAATGATGATAATGATGATGGTGATGATAATGCTGCTACTGATGATGATGGTGATGACTCTGATGACTCTGATGACTCTGATGATGATGATGATGATGATGATGATGCTGATGCTGATGCTGATGCTGATGCTGATGTTGATGATGATGATGATGATGATGATGATGATGATGATGATGATGATGATGATGATGATGATGATGATAGTGATGTTGGTGGTGATGGTGATGATGGTGACGGTGATGGTGATGGTGTTGTTGTTGCTGTTGTTTATGAGGATTGCGATGCTGATGATGATAATGATGATGCTGCTGATGATGATGATGGTGATGGTGCTGATGATGATGCTGATGATGCTGATGAGGATGATGATGATGACGATGGCGCTGGGGATGATGACAACGACGACGATCAAACCGATGATAACAATAGTGACAGTTACATTAATGTGAATGATGGTGATGACGATGATGATGCGTATGCTGCTGATGATGATGCTGATGAGGATGATGATGATGATGACGCTGATGATGATAATGGTGATGCTGCTGCTGCTGTCTGCGGTTGCGGGTGACGACGATGATGTTGGTGGTAATAATGATGATGATGATGACGATGCTGCTGCTGATGCTGCTGATGATGACGATGCTGCTGCTGATGATGATGCTGATGCTGATGCTGATGCGGATGACGATGATGACGATGATGCTGATGATGGTGCTGGTGGTGGTGGCGATGAGAATGAGGGTGAGGATGCTGATGATGATGAGGGGGATGAAGAGGAGACGGAGACGGAGACGGAGGAGGAGGAGGAGGAGGAGGAGGAGGAGGAGGAGGAGGAGGAGGAGGAATGGAGGAGGAGGATTGGACTAAACCATACCGAGAGAGAGAGAGAGAGAGAGAGAGAGAGAGAGAAAGATATATATATATAGAGAGAGAGAGAGAGAGAGAGAGAGAGAGAGAGAGAGAGAGAGCGAGAGCGAGAGAAAGAGAGAGGCAGAGAGAACGAGAGAGAAATAGAGAAAGAGAGAGAGAGATAGAGGGTGCGCGCGAGAGAGAGAGAGAGAGAGAGAGAGAGAAAAAAAGAACACGAGAGAGAGAGAGAGAGAGAGAGAAAGAGAGAGAGAGAGACAGGGAGAGTTAGAGGTCCTGGCCTCGGAAAACCCTGGGCACGCACCATCGGAGAGGAACTTTTGTCACCCTGGCTGGGGGGGCGCCACCCCAGCCAGGGGCCCGCGGCGGGTGCTTGCCTCAGGTAGGTGGAAACTATTCGACCAAATCGTCTTCGTCGAGCGGGTCGGGGTCTCGCCGCTGGGCAGTTCGGCCGAGCTGGCTCCTCGTTTAAACCAACACTATTGGCAAGCGTCCGAGAGGCAGAGTTAGGCTGGCCCGCAAACCTGGGAGCCCCCCTGCCTCTCAACCGAATTCTAGCTTGGCCAGCTTCCGATTGACCCCCACCCCGCCGAGGACCGAAAAGATGACGAGCGAAGGCCCCAGGAGATCTGTACTGGTCAAGCTTATGGGTTCGGTTAGGGTGCACAAAACGAGCGAACGAGTCCGAATGTTTCTTCCTTGCGCCTTGCAAGGAAAGCTCCTGCCCGAGACAGCGGCCCTTGAGGCCGCGAGAAGACTTGGCAATCTTGGCGTACTCGCCGCGCGTGGTGCAAAAAAGGATGCTGGAGAACTCGGCCTCCGTCGTGAGAGCAGGGAACTCCCAAAGACAGTGGCCCCCGACATTCCAGGGCGGCGCTGAGTCCTGGGGCTCTGGGGCGGGAGACTCGTAAGCAGGTCCGTCCAAGGGCGGCATTTCTTCCGCCCCTGGCAGGGCCCTGATCCCAAAGAGAAAGCTACTCCCCTCCATGGCCTCGTGCCCAGAGGGGGCCTCCAAAGAAACCAGGGTCAGCCCCTGGGCCCCGAGGTTATCATTGACTTCCTGGTCGCCATAGTGCGCCTCCGCACTATGGCGACCAACATCTCTATGATAAGGAGGAGGAGAGGAAAGGAGGAGGAGGAGGAGGAGGAGGAGGAGGAGGAGGAGGAGGAGGAGGGAGTAGGAGGAGGAGGAAGAGGAAGATGGTGATCTCCCCCCAAGCGGTTCGGCGCTGCCGTGTTTCTGGCCCCTGAGCTCCAGCATGGGCGCGGCGGCCCCTCTGGAGCTCATGGCCGCGAGGCTGCGGCGAGCAGTCCTCGCCTGGCGGCGGGGCGTTGACGCGGCGGGCGTCCCTGAAACAGATGGCTGCGGACT